CTTGATGGAACGGCATGAGGCAAATGAGAAGAAGCTACCAGCCAACATGAAAGGTCAGTTCATCAAAGTGTTCCTTGGATTGTGATTCATTGCCCACACAATATGACTCAATCGAATATGTAGATCTTGTAGCGATATATGTCATGTACAGTTGGAAGATAATTCCCATATTACTTTCAGATTGTAATTTTTCCATTGGCTTGCCCAAAAAGCCAGATCAGAGAAACACTGTCTCAATAACCAACCCTTTGCCAGCCGCCAAGGAACCCACAGTTCCCGAAGAACGGAGAGCTGTGGAGGTACAAGTGCTTCAAATCGTACACCCATGCGTTGCGCAATGTCACAGGGACTGAGGTGTCTGCTTTGCGGGAAGCGACGGTTGATGAAGATGACTTTGACAATTTGCTGCCCCTAAGTGTGTGAATTACTATTTTTTTGGGAAGGCCATCCTTCAAAATTAACATTTTTTCTCTGCCCCACCCTGAACGATTAGTATAAAGGAATAACCATCACATTAAATCACATTAATTAATTCTGAAGGGGGTTCCTGCCAACCCTGCTAAGGGACGATGCCATGAATGATGAGCCTAGCAACTTGGGCAGCGGATTACCACCACAGAGGCCACAGCAAGATCGAGCCAAGAAGGAGAAGAAGGAAAGAACCCCGAAGCAGAAGTTGCAACAGGCACATTTACATAGCTCAATTCTTGACTTACCAAAGCTGATCAATGGTCTTTCGTTGGATTTGTCATGTCATTTGAAGTCTACGTATATGGAATAATATGTAGCACAAAAATATCTACTTGTTAAGCCTCAAAGGTGATCACGTAGGTGACTTGCACTTGGGTTGGCCTCAGTTGCGCGCCATCTAATTTCAAACTGCATTGTGATGTTGGGCCCAAAAAAGATTTTGGTTGAGACGTTTTCGTGTATTCCCAATTCCAAGTGAGGACACGCTATATCCAATACTTCAGCGAGCGTGTTGGTCGTTCAACATTGCCATTCAGGGAAGGAGACCTACTACCAGTTTGGAACTCAAACTCACCCCAAAGCAGTGCAAACTGGCTGGCACCAACTTGGGTACCACATTTGCATTGACTGAATGCAGACGTGATTTGGCTTGGCATCTGTTTTTTTTTCCGTTATGGTCCCATTATTGGAAATGTGCTGCCATATGTTGGCGGTGCAACGCTGCAAGGATCCCCAGGCCAGGTTTTCGAAAAAAAACATCCCCATCACTCATTAAAATACCTTGCTTGATACGTGGGATCTACTCTGCTACAAATTATTGGTGATTTCAATAGCTCACAAATTAAATTATCATCCAATCCCATCCCCCTATTTGAAACACCTAGGCCTCCTAAGTGGTCCCAATCTTGTGGAAATTCCTACTAAACCATCCAACCATCCAAGTGTTTATAATCATATATGGTGATGGGATCAGTTTCATGAGATGGGAGAATGTTTGGTTTACATAATAAGTGCCGTGCCCTTGGCCAGGTTTGGCCCGCTCTTCACTGACTTTAACATGGTTTGGCAGCTACGGACAACTTCCGAATGGATCCGGGATTGTTTGCCTCATCCCCCAAACCCATTGATTTATGTCCAGGGATTTGATGTAAGCATGCTGACACTGTGTTGGCATTAACATTTTTGTGATCATGATGAAGTTTGATAACGCATCATCAAAATGTACACCACCAATGTGTTATTTACCTTGACCAGTCGCCAACCGAGGAAGCATTGTTCAATGCATACTTGCAACCTAGGATCGTTTACAATCCTAAATGCTGAAGGCTTGATAATGCTGGCTGAACACCGGGCAACTGTGTGGCATTGCACTTTCGATGAAGCTTTGCGTCATCTCGATCCAGATTTTAGATCTTGGACCCACATGAATCGTGCCAGTTGCTCCCATCGACTTTGGGGGGCCAAACACCTCCACATGGAGAACAATGACGGAGCGCGTACTTTCCCATGGCTGAATGCCAAAGCCTACAACGCTCGTGTTATACTGGCTGGGTTGGCTGCCACTAGCTTGCATTTTTTAATGGGAATTCTCCTACATATTTTTGCCATATGATATCAGGTTCCCCAACCCTGTCCAAATGTGCCACCCCAGGCAGGGCTGAGTCAGGGGCAAAGCCAAATGCTTTCGCAGATCGAAGGTGGGTCGGCCCATGCATGGGCAGACCGCAAGCAGTTGTGGGGCGCAGGGATTGCTGCTGTGTTCCCTGTTTGCAACCATCATCATTTTTTGAGGAATCCTGAAACATTTTTCCGTGATCATGATGATTATTGATTTTCTTTATCCTGCTGAATACAGGTGCAGCTGGGCTGAATGGCAAAGGCTGTCAGAACTTTATCCGCGCTACTTGAATGATGCTCAAGCGAACCACCTTCACGATCTTGGGATGCAATGCATTCACTTGTACAATTTCAGCGCTGCCGTGGCGGCCACCCAGGGTCAACTTCGTTGGCTAATATTGCCAAAACTACATATTTTTCACCATATGATTTTGGATTTGCCTGTGAACTTTCAGAATGTTCGGCCATTTCACTGTTTTAGTGGAGAGGATTACATGGAGTTCCTCAAACAAGTTTGTCTTTCTACCTGCACAGCTTCGAACATGGAGAAGCGAGTGCTCAAGCGGGCTTTGTTGAAATGCATGGCACAATGCCACACTAGCATTTCAGCTTTGAAGTGATCCATCTAGGGGTGAATGGATAAAAAAGTGAGAAGGCAATCATTAAGATCAACTTGATTTTTGTGGTTCCCAAATCCTGGTTCCTCGCCAGGCCCTCAGTTCAGATGGAACCAGTCGCTGGGGGCTGGTTACCTATTATACAGGTATCCAGGAGGGCTAGGGTCATATATATATATATATATATAAATATATATATATATATAATATACACACATATATATATATATATTTAAATGTCATGTGCTGGCTGGCGGCATTTTTTATTGTTGTTTTTCGAAGTCATCCATACATTTTTTCCGGGGAGAAGATTCATTACTGCCCGTGATCAATGTTCACCCGAGGTGATGACTTTGAGATGTTTTCCCCTTAGTTGCCTCCGCAACTCCCAGTCTGATAATGGGAAAACTAAAGCAGACAATCCAACAAAAAGTGGCTTAAGATCCCTGAAAGTCACCCAGGCTTTAGCGGATTGGTCATCGCCCAGACACCTTGGTTCCAGGGCATCATCGGGGTGCCTCTGAACTATGTCATGTTGAGGCGAACGGTTGACACCCTTGGGATCTGAAGGCTACGGTTTAGAAAGGGGAGAGCCGGACGGGGACTCAGTGCCAAAAGAATCATTCTTGACAGAAAACCTTATCCGTACGGATGAAAATTGAAGATGGGAAATTGAAGAGGATTTTCGAGTTTTTATGACCTATGATCATGAAGATTTAAAGCTGTAAGCCTTGACTCGTTCTTCAAATTAGTGATGGAGCCTGGTATTCATCATCATGTACTATCCCCTGTAGGCTGTAGTGTTCAACTGATCAGAGACATACAATTACCTGACTTGATTCTTACCATGCAAATCCGGCAACTTGTCAATGAAAGGAATGAAGACAGTACATTAATTTGCCCCAAAACGATTGCATAGCTCCTTGAAAAGCGATTCATAAAGGGGAAGTAGACGTTTATCAACGTGACGATTAATGCCCTCAAAATCAGGGTCCTACTGCTCTTGCACGGTGGCACCCCTGGTACGTGCAGCCCTGCGTCAGTCGAAACGTCTCAATGAAGAGCATGATCATCATCATGGTGGCTGCCTGGTTGCATGGGGCGCGCTCGGACGGTCACTCCTGGAACATGGTTTGCAATGTATAGAGGGATGTCCCTTGATACAAGTTGTATCCAGCTGCAACGTTTTCCAACACACTTACTTGCCACGTGTCAAATTCAGGGATCACCCTTGTGGCATGGCACATGGGACTGCAATCATTTGGCCTGTGAATGTGCTGATGTTTAAGTGCCATGCATGCACAAATGATCCAGCACCACTGAAAATCACCTTTTTGTGGCAATTGTCCACGCTTAAGCTTTGTCACACGTATAGTCGGCTCATCAACCATCATTTCCCTTATAGTGAGTGACATCCACCAAAACCAAAACACCCAAAAACACCAAAAGCGGGCTATCCCATATCAGAAACTCCAATCTTTTACCATCTTACAGCATACCCTACTGTAAATGTTTACATAAACCCACCATTTGTACATCATCTTCCTAGGGAAAACCTATGGGTTTTCCACCGGGTTTTGTATGTTTTAGGGTACAGTTTGTACCACTTTTTCTCCCCACTTCCAGGAGACCCACCTCCCAAGGCGGGCTCGCTGGTGGGCAACGTGCTCTACGCCCTGGCGGGTCTGATGCACTCGAAGGTCGCCATCCTGGCATCACGAACGATGATCGGTGAACTGGACACGCATGGGGGTGGCACGTGTCCTTCAATGGATTGATTTTCTAGGGACATGTTTAACCGGAACGCCCCATATTGAATGGGAAAATCTTTGGTTTCCGGTCAAGATTTCCCTCAAACCAATCCATGTTTGGGTGTGTTATAAACATTTCCCGATGGTTATATCATAAAAACATATATACATCATAATTATATCATATACTATGTAAACCATCACAAACGTCATGATTTTGATGTTTGGTGTCTTACAGTAAAAATTGAAACCTAGGTGTTTATAATCATAGGTAGTTGGATATGTCATAATATATAATCATATGGCATGTTGTTTCAACACTTTATTATTTTGTTTAACGTATATAGTAGGTATGAAAACACAATGAAAAGCAGTAACTTCATATTGATGTAAACAAAAAGACACATGAAAAAAAACTATATGATTATGTGGTGTGGATGAGAATGTACAAGTGCGTTTTGGCATTATTATCAATAAATATATATATATATATATATTATGTTTATATGACGTGTGTGGGAGTTTTATTGCAAAAAAATATCAAAACACAGAAGGATTGGGTCACCGTTGAATGGTTGAACAGTGATGTTGGAGTGTTATTGGAATAGGTCTTGGTCAGATGGAATGTCGTGTTGGTGTTGCACGTCTTGGGTATTGGAAAATGGTGGGGCTTGCCATGGTCATTTTGGTTGAGAATCCGGCATCCGCAGCCACTGAGGTATTTGCCAGTGCCAATTGGCTGGGCCAATCTACATTGCCAGGGCGGTTGGCGTCAAGAAACGCACCAAGGTGGGCCCATGGGTTGGAGTTGGAGAGGATTTGTTGCAGAGTTCGTCATGGTTTGTCTAAAAAATTGAGAAATGATGACAAGCCAGTTGATTGTTTGCAGTTGGTTTTACTTTTATTTGATGGATTTTAAGGGTTTTGCCCAACAATTTCAGGTTCCAAAGGCTTAAATGATAAATGGACACAGAACTGGCGCTTCAACACTGAAAAGTCCAACCTTCAGGTGATGTTCCTCTACTCCACTATGTCAGCAGTGGCATCGTTCAGTGCCTTGAAATTTGCAGCGGACTTCAGCAGTTGCACATTGAACTGTTGTTTCATGCGCAGGGATTCTAAAAATGAACATTAGACATATATATACATATAGATAGTAATATTATATTATAGATAAATTATGAATTATAGTACATATTATATTATATTGTACTATATATATTATATTATATATTATATTATATTATATATTATATTATATTATATTATATTTTTATTATATTATATTTTATAATTATATTATATGTTTTTATTATATTATTTTATGTTATTTATTATATTATATTATATTATTATATTTTATTATTATATTT